GTGCATTTTTACAAACCTTTTATTGATTATGGTATAAAAAATTTAGAATATTACATGAATCCAAGAGAAAAGGATACATTAGAATTCCAAATAACCTAAAATTTGTTCCTTGATAGTTGGTACGAAGTAACAGAACTCCTAAAACACGAACACTTCATTTTAAAAACTCCAAAACATTCAGAAATTTTTTAAGATCAATTGGCTAAAATATTCTAAAAATTTAACCAAATTTCATTACATTAAATTATCTTTCTTTTATATTCTAACTTCAGATAATAATCCGACTCAAAGACCAACCTCTTGTTCTAAAAGGGAAGTAGTGTTATATTCAGAAAATATTACCATAATCCAACTGACTTCTAAATTCTTTTTCCTAATCCTTAAAAAACACGTTTTCTATAAATTCCTGCATAATGCATATATATCCACAAGAGTTTCATGGTTAGAGAGAGAGAGAAAATTTCATGGTTAGAGAACCAAAAATGTCGAGTTTTTTTCAAGAATAAAATCAAGACTGAATTTTATTATCAATGCTATGTAAATAACCATAACAAGTATGAAACTTTCTTTTGCTGCCAATGCATGGGAAAGGCCTTATGCCAATATTGTTGTACAGAATCTGAGGAACATCGAGGCCATCCTTTTCTACGAGTACATGATTTATTTTAGGTCGAGGATGATTTTCAAAGTATTCGTTTTTTTTTTAAAAAAATCTTTATTATCTTTTGGCAGGTTTTTAGGGCTTCTTTGAGACATTCTCTCTTGTTTTTGGACATAACAAAACTACTTGATATATGTGGTATTCAAATCTTCATAATCAATAGCAAGCAGATTCTGTATCTAAACAGAGACATACAACAGGCGAAACAGAAGCCGAAAAATGGGTCTATGTGTAAAATTTGCTATCGTCAAATTAAGGACTTCAAGTATGATTTCTGTTCAGAGGGCTACAAGGTACTGAATAATGGAGGCTTTATTGAGTTTTTTGTGTTTAAAAAATTTAATGTGATTCTGTGTAAACTTTTCTTGTGTTGCAGGTAAAGAGCCACGAAAACAGTATCAAGTTGTACGAGGAAAAATGTAGTAGCAAGAGATCCTTGTACTTGGATTCTAATGGAGATGTCCCTTTGAGGGAAACTAATGAAGTTGAAATAATAGAGAGTAGTACGAGTGGAGAAGACAAGATATTTAACCGTAAAAGAAGTTGAAAAGGAATCCCTCATAGAGCTTCTTTCTTTTAAACAATCTAACCAGTATAGTTAATCGGGTCCATAAGAACTGACGATTGACAACATCTAGCCCTATGAAGACTTTCGTTTTAGTTGAATTTAAGAGAGAAAATAAGACAATACAAAGAGAATAGAATTGTATTGAATGGTGTGATTTGTTTACAAGAGAGACATCCTATTTATAGCTTAACTTGATAGGAATGTTTTACTTTCTAATCAATGAGAGACTA